TTTCACGTGAGAAGGATGTACCAGAGAAGAAAGATTATGCTCTTTGGAGGCTACAGATCAGGTTCCAGTCACCACAGAACACTAGACAGGCATGTAATTTGTGGCTGTGAAATTGGTACAATAATACCAATATGATAAAACTTCTATGACTAAATAGCACATGTAAAGCACAGTAGGGTGTTGTAATGTAATTGACATCCATAAGTGGTCGATTTTATCATTTCCCAAATATTACATTTGGTTTACAACTTTGGCGATCTCTTAGCCTTGACTATTAGATCAGAAAAAGAATACATATTGTTAGAGATTTGAGTTCTCTTCAAAAAATATGTTGAAGTCTTAACCTCTGCACCTGTGAATGTGACCTTGTCTGGGGAAAGCGGGTTTTTCCTTGCAGATGTTATCAGTTCAGTTAAAGTCATACCAGAGAAGAGTGGATCCTACTCTGATCCCTTCTGAATGGCATCTTATGAAAGAGAAGGACAGACATGGAAACAGAGTCACACACCAACAGGAGGAAGACGGTGCCATGTGATCACGAAGACAGATGCATCTCTAAACAGCAAAGGGACACCAAGGATTGTTGGCAGCCACCAGAAACCAGGAGAGAGGGATGAAAAAGTTCCTCTCTCAAAACCCTCAGAAGGAATCAAAATAGCCATGACCCTGATTTCGACTTTTAGCCTCCATAACTGCGAGAAAATAAATTTCTGTTCTTTAAAGCCACCTGCATAGCGATACTTTATCATGGCAGCGCTGGGAAACTAAGACATATATATACTTACATATATATGTGTGTATGTATTTGTGTGTGTGTGTATGTGTGTGTGTGTCTGTGTGTCTGTGTGAAGTCCCTGGCCCTTGAGTGGTGCAAATGGTTAATGTTCTTGGCTGCTGACCAAAAGTTTAGAGGCTTGTGTGCACCAAGAAGCACCTCAGAAGAAAGTCCTGGTGATCTACTTCTGAAGAATCAGCCGTTGAAAACCCTAGGGAGCACAGTTCTACTCTGACACATATGAGGTCGCCATGAGTTGCAATCGACTTGACAGTATATATACACACACACACATATATATTCTAAGTCATCCAAAAGGACTACTAATTCCATGTAGTCTATTTAAAGGACAAAAATAGAATTAAAATAAGGCAGTATCTTAAATTTGTTTATTTGCAATCTTAAATTAACAAGAACATATAAAACATTATTACTCAAAATAGGTTTCAAATAACTATATAGATATTAATTGCATGAAACTTTGTGTATATAAATATATTTTATATCTATTAAATATGATTATTATATATGTAATATAATTATTATATAATTATTAAAACTTTAGTTTAACCAGACTCAATTGAAATATACAAATAAAACTACTGGAAAACACAGTACCTTAAAAATTTTAAAAGTTTTTGGGTATGTTTACTAAATGTACAAATATTGAAGATGGTATCTTGACATTTATAAGTACACTCCCAGTTTATAGAGAGAGAAAACTACAACAGAAATGACTTGCAGTAAACAAAAAATATTATTAACCTTCTGTGATATAATGCTGTAAATAATGATCAGACTAACTTGTGTATCATCAAGCAGTGTCTGTTTAATATCAGATATTAGAAAGCCATTTCCATGCACACACTTCATACATGTGTATGTGTTGCGTGTGGGTGTTTTTATAGGAAATAGAAACAGAGAAGTGTGATAACTTGTCTAAAGTCACACAGTAACTTAGCAACAACCCAAGGAATGAGATCCAAATCCCCTGGATCTGCTCATTGTACCATCTATTGCATCACGTTGTTTTCCTAGTCTGTAGAAAAAATAGGCCTGGGAGGCATATAATCTAACTATTCTTCTAGACAGATTTTTACAAAACACCTGGGAAGCAGGCCCAGAGCAATTGAGACATCTGAGAAGTTCATAAGTATTACTTTCAAGAGACTAACAGAATAGAAGCTCTCTAAGTCATCTTTAGAAATATGTAACACGAGATGGTAGGTCTCAGGGCTGGAGTCATAAGGAACAGTAGTTTGGAAATGTTTTCACAATGCCCAGAAACGTGGTACATAGGATGGAAGGCTATGTAGTCTCTCTCTCTCTTTTTTTTTTTTTTTTGGTGCCCAATTAGAGAATTAGAGTGTAAGCCTATGTAATACCACTGCTTAGATCTTCAAAAAGGAAGGATAATAATATATACCTCAAGAAATTGTTTGGAATATGACATGCAAGGTATTGCCCAAAATTGTTCTAAGTTCTCCCAGTCTTGATGGAAAACTTCCATCCAAAGACTTTGCAATCACCACAGTAACTTAAAGCAAAAGGGGTTATAATTGTCATTCCAAACATCATCTCCAAAACGTGTTTAATTCATGTGTTTCGACTTACATGAACAGCTTTGCTATAGTTTATAAGTCTATGCTCTTAGAAACACTGTAGAAAAATTACTGCCGAATGCATACATTTGAATTGCTTACCATATTAACTGACAGGTGGAGCAGTGCAGAATATGGTCAGAAGGGCAATGTTCTACTAGTGAGCAAGGGGCATATACCTCACAATGGTGCATCTGTGCAAAAAGCATCCATTGCAAAGCAGAGAAATAAGCAGTGTCAAAGAATCCTTGAAAAATCAAAGACAGCTGAGGCAATAATTACACAGAGATGATGTCACTTCAGTTAGACTATCTCCTTAAAGGATACCAAACCAAATCAAACCGAAACAAAAGCCACAGAGTCAATTTTGACTCATAGCGACCCCATAGGACAGAGTAGAAGTGCCCCATAGAGTTTCCAAGGCTGTAAATCTCTGCGGAAGCAGACTGCCACATCTTTCCCCACAGAGCACCTGGTGGGTTTGAACTGCTGACCTTCCGGTTACTCAGCCCTTCACCACTGTGCCACTAGGGCTCCTCCCTTAAAGGATAGCTCCTGTGTATTATCCTTACAAACAAAGGAAAAAGGAGAGACATCCCCATATTTCACCAAAACAAAAGGTGAGTGATCTTAACCTGTTGCAAAGGACATGATCAGTGAGGGAATATATAACCCCCTGCTGTGGCATCTGTACAGGATGTAGAATAAGTTGAGATTGCAGGTCCAGTCTGCACATACTCTAACCACTGACTTATTGCCTAAATCTGGACGTGTGCCCCAAACTTGTGGAAGCTGTGGGTATTGCGTGAAGACATAAACACTTTTCAAAAGCAGCTTGGTACTGAGTTTTAGAATCGGTTATGTTTCAACTAAAGACCAAAGTAAATATTTATCAATTATGGTAAAAGTTCAGCTGTAGGGCACACCCGGCAGCTGAAGAAGCAAGGAGAGGCAAATCATACTTCCCTTACTATGGTTTGTTTACTGGCTGTATAATGGCCTTAGACCCAGGTGTGTTGTGTGTATGTGGGTGTGTGTGTTTACCACTATAGCAGCACTCCAATTTTACTGCAAAGAGCCTGAAGGACCTGATTTAATAACCCAAACAGGTATGCCGCATTCATATTATAGGGACCTTTGGTTGTGAACTCCATGTAGGGTCCCATTTGTGCAACAACAAGCTGTTGCACACACCAGGTATTTTGATGTACTCTGTTTTTAATATTTAGGATTCTGTGTCTCAGATATTACTGGAAATGAGGAGACAATAGAATGGTTCAGAAGCAAAGCAATTAGCTCAGTCAAGCAATTTATATTCTAGATAGTGTATGGTAGGAGAAAAAAATTAAAGAGGCTCCTATTGCAGGTATAGGGAAATCAGATCTTTCTTGGATGAAAATGAGAACTCTGTCTATTCCAGGTTCAGTCACTGGTTATTCAGCACACAGGGTTTTATGTTCGGGGCAGTGCACAGGATTTCTGGAAGCCTAGTGATGAATAGAAACATATACTCTGGAAAAGGCCAGTTATTTGTTCAATTACTTATATGGCACCCTACAGATCAAAAAGTATTTCACAGGCTTAATGCACTGAAGTCTCCCATAGCCCTGGTTTGATAAATAAGGGGACAGAGCCCCAAAGTTTCCTGGACTCCAGGTCACATGACTAGTTAGTGTCAGAGCCACAGGGGATATCCAAGCATTTTACATCATACTTCTCCAGGATTCCTTTAGAAAGCACAACTCTCCTAGAAATCATGGGGTGGGGGGAGGAATATATGTGTATATATATATACACACACACATACATATATACACACACACATATATATATGAGGAGGAATATGTATACATATGTATATGCAGGGCCCTGGTGGTGCAGTGGTTAAGTGTTTGGATCGATGCTAGCCAAAAGGTTGGCAGTTTGAATCCACCAGCTGCTCCTTGGAAACCCTAGGGGTAGTTCTACTCATAGGGTCGCTATGAGTCAGAATCCACTGGATGGCAACGTGTATATATATATATGTATGTATATATATATATATATGTATGTATATATGTGTATATGTATACATATATGTACATATATATGTATATGTGTGTGTGTGTATAAATAACTTGAAAAGTGACCATTTCCTCCTGTAGGTTTCAATGAATGTACCCCCTCCTCTCCCAAAAAATGCACCCCTTAGAGAAATATCCTAAAATCGGTTGCATGCAGAACCACTTGTGTTACAGCACAATTGTTTCCACTTTTTCCCTTGGCTCCTTCCCTTGGCCAGAAGCCTTGCTCCTCTAAAACCAGAGTAGGAGGCAGACACCCAGAGTCACTTGCGCCTACAACTAGGAAACTAGCAGAAGCTCTGCCACCACCAACAGCGAAATTCCAAATTGGAGCATGCCGAAACCTGCCCCGAACTTATATATTTGCTTTTCCGGCTCACACTGCATTGCAAAGAAGTTGAAATACCTTCCCTCTGCAGAGAAAAGTGGATTTTCTTTCTCTATGCAAACACTGGTGGATCCAAGTCTCTCGGAAGAACTGGTAGCAAAGCAGGCGTTTGATTGCTCTGTGGTCCCGACTCTCCCTCCGTATATATTCAGATACAAATGCGGGCTTATTTATTTATTTTAATGCTCCCTCCTTTGCTCGCAACCTGTGGACATAGCTTCCGACTGGTGCGGCGAAGCCGGAGGCTGGTAAGCGCGCGCTCGGGTGCCGGACCCAGAGGCGCCTAGTCGCAGTCTTCAGAGGCAAGTCCCCCATCCCGGCTCCTCGGACTGGGTCTGGACGTACTGGCGCCAGGGGCAAGAAACTATGACAGTGCCCTTCCGCCCCCTCTCTTTTCTGTCCCCATTAGCGCCCGTTCTTAATTGACGAGCCAGTGACTATTGGCTGAAGTTCCCAGCGATTTGCATGAACTGAGGGAGTGTCTTCCGTCACCCTCCTGTCAGGAGCGCGCAGACTGCAGCCTCCCCGGGAATGCGCGGCGGAGGGAATGCGCGCAGCTCGAGGGCGCTGGCGGTGAGCTGGCGCCCGGCGACCTGGCACCCGAGCCTGGATATGGGCCGTCTACATCGTCCCAGGAGCAGCACCAGCCACAGGAACCTGCCGGTAAGGGCTGCGGTCCAGGAGCTCTACCGCCCCGACAAGTTGCAGTACTGGGAGGCACTTCCTACACCTTGGTGGTGGTTAAAACCCTTTACCTTAATCCAAACTTCAAAGGAAGAATGGAAGGAAGTGAAGGGAGCTTGGGCTAAGTGTCTTCATTTTAGTAACGACTGGGCAAGTCCTTGGGCCGAGAGAGGAAGTTTCTGAAGCAGAAATAGAGAGAGATGGGATGGAGAGGGGGATGGGGGTGCGCTTACTCCGTTGTATATACTGGGGTTCGGAGGTTGTTTACGGCTGCCGGCATCTGGCTAAGACTGTCTCCTGCAGCTGATAAATTGTTTTTGCATAATCATTATCCGCGTTTACTCCTCTTCCCCTAAGGGAGGGTTTGGAAGGGAATGGGGGTACAGATCCTTTCGATCTGATTTTAGATGTGTGCTAAAAGGAACATCTCTTCCAATCTAAGGGGTTTATTTGTGTGTATTGTGTGTGGGTGTGTGTATGGGGTACTATTTTTCCGTATTATTATTGTTGTTGTTGTTGTTGTTATTTTTATTGGTCTCATATAGTAAGGGATGTTACATATTTCGCGTTGTAAGACCCTAATGACAGAACTATTTCAGTGGGAAGTCAATTGCCCACCTTTCAGTCCTCACCACTATCACCCATCACCCGGCTTCCTCCCCATACCCTGCCCAGGCTGCCTCCCTGTAGCGTTGCGCAGTCCCTGAGTGGGAGTCCTTCCACTTTGGCGTGTGTTTCCAGAGATGTTTTATGTCTGGGACTTGGAATGTTAGCTGAATGAGGGTGGTGAAGGGGGTGTAGGGGATGATGGGAGGAGGGTACAGATAGAAAGTGAACGGAAAAAATGAAGTTTGGCAGGCAGTGTTGCTCCTTAGATCTCTCCTTTGCCCCAAGTTTCTTCTTCACCCCGTTCTGAGTACGGGATTTGCTCCTGGGAATAGGGATGTGGGCCGGGGAAACTGGTTTCTGACTCCGATCTCGGTGTTTCCGCGTGTGTAACGAACCTTCTCCCCTCCCCCTACTCTAGCATCTGTTTCTGTTTTTCCTCTTCGTGGGACCCTTCAGCTGCCTCGCGAGTTACAGCCGGGCCACGGAGCTCCTGTACAGCCTAAACGAGGGACTGCCTGCGGGAGTGCTCATTGGTAGCCTGGCAGAGGACCTGCGGCTGGTGCCCCGGGCCTCGGGGAGGCAGGACCAGCAGGCGCCAGAGCGCGCCAGCGTCCAGCGGAACCCCCCTCTCTCCTTCAGCCTGGCCTCCCGTGGACTGAGTGGCCAGTATGTGACCCTGGACAACCGCTCCGGGGAGCTGCACACTTCTGCCCAGGAGATTGACAGGGAGGCCCTGTGTCTGGAAGGGGGTGGAGGGGCAGCCTGGGGCGGCAGCATCTCCATCTCCTCCTCCCCTTCCTCTGATTCTTGCCTTTTGCTTCTGGATGTGCTGGTCCTCCCTCAGGAATACTTCAGGTTTGTGAAGGTGAAAATCGCCATCCGGGACGTCAATGACAATGCCCCGCAGTTCCCCGTTTCCCAGATCTCAGTATGGGTCCCGGAAAATGCACCTGTAAACACTCGTCTGGCCATAGAGCATCCTGCTGTGGATCCAGATGTAGGCACTAATGGGGTACAGACCTACCGATTACTGGACTACCATGGTATGTTCACCCTGGACGTAGAAGAGAATGAGAATGGGGAATGCACCCCCTATCTAATCGTCATGGGGGCTTTGGATAGGGAGACCCAGGACCAGTATGTGAGCATCATCATAGCCGAGGATGGTGGGTCTCCACCACTGTTGGGCAGTGCTACTCTCACCATTGGCATAAGTGACATCAATGACAATTGCCCTCTCTTTGCAGACTCACAAATCAATGTCACAGTGTATGGAAATGCTACAGTCGGCACTCCGATTGCAGCTGTCCAGGCTGTGGATAGAGACTTGGGGACCAATGCTCAAATCACCTACTCTTACAGCCAGAAAGTTCCACAGGCATCTAAGGATTTATTCCATCTGGATGAAACCACTGGTGTCATTAAACTTTTCAGTAAGATTGGGGGAAGTGTTCTGCAAACACACAAGCTCACCATCCTTGCTAATGGGCCAGGCTGCATCCCGGCTGTGATCACTGCCCTGGTGTCCATTATCAAAGTCATTTTCAGACCACCTGAAATTGTCCCTCGTTATATAGCAAATGAGATAGATGGTGTTGTTTACCTGAAAGAGCTGGAACCTGTTAACACTCCAATTGCTTTTTTCACCGTAAGAGATCCAGAAGGCAAATACAAGGTGAACTGCTACCTGGATGGTGAAGGACCATTTAGGCTATCGCCCTATAAACCATACAATAATGAATATTTACTAGAAACCACAAAGCTTATGGACTATGAGCTACAGCAGTTCTATGAAATAGCTGTAGTGGCCTGGAACTCTGAGGGATTTCATGACAAAAAGATTATTAAAGTGCAACTTGTAGATGACAATGACAATGCTCCTGTTTTCCTTCAACCCCTGATAGAACTAACCATTGAAGAAAACAATGCACCCAATGCCTTTTTGACTAAGCTGTATGCCACAGATGCTGACAGTGGAGAGAGAGGCCAGGTTGCATATTTTCTGGGACCTGATGCTCCGTCCTACTTTTCTTTAGACAGTGCCACGGGGATTTTGACAGTTTCTACTCAGCTAGACCGAGAAGAGAAAGAGAAGTACAGGTACACAGTCAGAGCTGTTGACTCTGGGAAACCACCCAGAGAATCAGTAGCCACTGTTGCTCTTACAGTGTTGGATAAAAATGACAACAGCCCTAGGTTTATTAACAAGGACTTCAGCTTTTTTGTGCCAGAAAACTTCCCAGGATATGGTGAAATTGGAGTAATTAGTGTAACGGATGCTGATGCTGGGCGAAATGGGTGGGTGGCCCTCTCGGTGGTGAACCAAAGTGATATTTTTGTCATAGACACAGGAAAGGGCATGCTGAGAGCTAAAGTCTCTTTGGACAGAGAACAGCAAAGCTCCTATACTTTGTATGTTGAGGCTGTTGATGGGGGTGAGCCTGCCCTCTCCTCTACAGCGAAAATCACAATTCTCCTTCTAGACATCAATGACAACCCTCCTCTTGTCTTATTTCCTCAGTCTAATATGTCTTACCTGTTGGTTCTACCTTCTACTCTCCCTGGCTCCCCAGTTACAGAGGTCTATGCTGTTGACAAAGACACGGGCATGAATGCTGTCATAGCTTACAGCATCATAGGGAGAAGAGGGCCGAGGCCTGAGTCCTTTAGGATTGACCCCCAAACTGGCAACATTACATTGGAAGAGGCATTGCTGCAGACAGATTATGGGCTCCATCGCTTACTGGTGAAAGTGAGTGATCATGGCTATCCAGAGCCTCTCCACTCCACGGTCATGGTGAATCTATTTGTCAATGACACTGTCAGCAACGAGAGCTACATTGAGAGTCTTTTAAGAAAGGAACCAGAAATTAATATAGAGGAAAAAGAGCCACAAATCTCAATAGAACCAACTCATAGAAGGGTCGAGTCTGTGTCTTGTATGCCCACCTTGGTAGCTCTGTCTGTAATCAGCTTGGGTTCCATCACACTTGTAACAGGGATGGGCATTTACATCTGTTTAAGGAAAAAGAAAAAGCATCAGAGGGAAGATGAAAATTTGGAAGTACAAATTCCACTGAAAGGAAAAATTGACTTGTATATGAGAGAGACAAAACCGATGGATATTTCTAATATTTGATATTTTGATGTGAATAACACAGAGAGGTGTTTTAACTGACTTTGGATAGTCTTCACCACCTAAACAAGAGTGGTTGATGGCAGTTCCAATGAAGGACAGCTAATTTATAACTTGTACTATATTGTAAATAGCTGTTTACAGGTTTTTAAATTCAAATTCAGATGTTATAAAATGTGTACAGCATTTTTTAAATGAAAAATTAGTACTAACGGCTATAGAAGTGTTATAAAAAGCTTGGATATCATTTGCAGCTTTCATACACCAAGCAGATCATTGATAAAACCTGGGAGAAAGGTAAGACTATGGTACATTGAATTTTTTGTCTAAAAAATCTTTCAACCACAAGAGGGCACCAGGTGCCCCTTTGCTGGGAGTTGTTTGAAGTATTGTACATGACAGGTGTTGTACATGAAATTAATGAAAGAGTATATTTTAAATATATTGTTTTTAGCATTTAACAAATATGAAATTACAGTAAATTTAATTTGTCCTACTTAAATGTATGATAAGAAGGAAAAGAAATGCACTTGTAAACAGAATGTTTATTACTTCATAAGTACATCATGTATAGTATGAAAGAGAAGACATTAAAAAAATAATTATTTTTGAGCAAGGATAAAAAACATTGCTATGTGTTAAAGTTTCTACTTGCTGAAGAGTATTTCACTTCCTGTGTACTGTAATTGCTTTCAATTAGTTTGCTTTACCATTGTACTTGCTATTATTACAGGGGAAATATATACTGTATATTCTTCCTTACAGAAGATGTAACTAGAAATTTTGCCCAAGAAAAACAGCCAGAAGCAAAGAAAATATTTCAATCCTTAGTTGCTTCATAGGTTTTCATGACATTTTGGTGTTTTCATAGCTTGTGAGTAGCACTTTATACTTGGGTTGCATATTAGATTTTTATATGCTTAAGCTCATCCATCGCGTAAGAAAATAAAAATCACATTAAAACTGAATTATTCTAGAAACTTGTGTAAACTATTGGTCATTTCAGTTGGGCATTTTATATGAAAGTTACATTTTTGTTGTCGTTGAGGTTTGTTGGCTACCATTTCTGGCTTCCTTTCTTTGGTTTTGGAATAAGTCCAAGAGGTTATTTGTAAGCCCAGTAGCATATTTCTTTGATAATTTAGCTTTTACTGAATCCTTTGCAGTGAAGAAAGCTGGTTCATCAGTGACTGATCACTTTCACTTCACTGTATGAGCTGGAAATTTAATTTTATATGAGAGCTGTCGCAAACACATCTGTATAAACAAGGAATGTAAGTGTCGGCTTAAATTGGATCATTTTACTTTTTGCCATGCATCTGTACTGTACCAAAAGTGTTTATATGTCTGCAAATTAAAGCTATATATTTTCATAATTTCTTTCTCATTTTTACCATTTTATATCTGAACTTGGGATTGTTCTTTCACTGAAGTGCCTGTTAGTGGCATTCATTTGCTTCTAGGGGTAAATGTGGGTAAATCTAAAGTATTCTGCTATGCTAAAGTTTATGTTAAACTAATTCATGACTCAATTAAATATTGAGAAAATAGTAAATATGTGTGTAGTTATAGACATGTATGTAATAGAGAATATGCCTATGTTTGATAGAAGTTCATCTGAAGATTTACGCCCATGCACGTGCATAAAAATATTAATTTATTATAAAATTAATATAAATTATAAACATGCATTTTACTACATATTTATAGCAAATTCTCTGTTATCTATGTTACAATAGCTTCCAACATTTTTTCAAAAATAAAAATACCGTGCAAAAAAAAAAAAAGAGAAAGTAAATGCCCAAGACCTTTTCAGTTTGTATTAACTCATTTTCTTGTTTTCTTCCATTTAACAATTTGAATAAATAAAACGATAAGCATATGGGGCACCACTCTTTGTTAAAAAAAATATATATATTTTCATTTGAAAGCTCTTTTGTATGAGAAGAATCTGAGATAATCGAGGAAGACCATTTAACCCCCAAACTTTGCATTCATAATTGCCGTATAGCAGCCTCTGAGTCATTTTTTATTTCTTTTTTCTTTCTTTTTAAAGAGAGCAACTACTTATGAAACCAGTAGTATCCTTAATTAAAAATATATATATATTCTTTAAGCACAATGTTTTGACCATCAGTATAAAAAATAAAATAGCCCATTCATTTCTAAATTTGAAGAAGGTTTATGTGTTTTGAGGCATGAACCTTATCTCCAGCATGAGAAATACCTACAATATTAATAAAAGGACATATTTCTGGATAATTTCTTGTGGCAGGATTTCCTTTACCCAAACATCTCATTCTCATTAGAAACATTTATAATAAGGAAAAGCTAAAGTAAATTACGCTGAGAGATAAAAGCCCCCTTTTAACTAACACCTTGTGCTAGAACAGTTGCCAAAATGTATGCTAATCATGTCAATGTTGTTAGTTGAGCTGGCACAAAAATAAATGTTCCATTCATTAAAACCCCTAATATCCATTTAACAGTTTGAGAACCAATGAGTCCTCTTTGCCCAATTTAATGAAGAAGAGATTGCTCTGATCTTTGCACTGCCAAATCCATTCTTAAACTACAGAGAAAAATGTTCATTAATTTGAATTGAGAAATTTAAAACTAGCATAGCAATTTTAGCTAAAGGGGAAAAACAATTTATGCTATTTGATTCTTTAGGGTGCATTTCCTGATCCAATTTTTTCTTAAAAAAGGAAAGATACACATTACTTTTAAAACTGTTTTGTAAGGTAAGGTCAGTTTATTAAAAAGAAAAAAAGCCAAGTCTTTTGTATTTTGGATGTTCTACAAAAACACCAGGCATGGGTTTTCTACGAAATAACGTCAGTAGAAGGAGTGTTAGAGATGGTGTATGAAATTGACTTGATTGCAGTGAGCTCTGTCATAGGATTTTGTGCTTCCAGAAAACACCTGAAATGACCGTTGTAAAAGGAGGAATTAAGCAAGCTTCTCCTCCGGAGTCTCAGGTTCCAATCTGTCCTCAGTGAGGTGAAGACTTTGAGGTTCTGATCTTTGTAGACAATGGAGAATGTAAAGAAAGTACATCACCAAGCTTTTGGTGCTCTTCAGCTCCAATGGGCAGCCTCAGCTCATTGAGGTCAGAAACGTAGATACCCCACCATTTCCTTCCTGGTCTAAGGCAGATTTCCTCACTGCATGAAAGTGATCAATTTCTGCAAATGCCATATTACTGACACGTGTGATCGCTGCCTAGTGTTGTGCTTTTACATGGCAAATAATTAAGAAATCATGAAAGGAAGAGAATCTGCAGTCACAGGACAGGAAAGAAAATCAATTAACACAATTAGTATCACCTGACTCCTTCCCCACAACCCTGGCCAAAAAAAACCCCACCATAATGTTTTTTTATTTCTGATAAGAAAAAAAAATCATGCATGTTTTTCAAATTATGTATACATACACACACTCTGTAATTATTTTTTAAATGTCTGACCATGTATAAGAGCCCTGGTGGTGCAGTGGTTAAAATGCTTGGCTGCAAAGGCAGTTCAAACCTGCCATCTGCTCCACTAGAAAAAGATACAGCAGTCTGCTTCTGTAAAGATTTATAGCCTTGGAAACCCTATAGGGCAGTTCTACTCTGTCCCATAGGGTCACTACGGGTCAGAATCTACTAGACAACAGTGGGTTTTGGTCCTTGTACATATATATATATATTTTTTTTAATAGCATTTTTTTTTTCCTCTGAGGAACTCCTAAATTGGCAATGTCTTCCTCTGAGGGTATAAAACAAAACTGGGTGAATTTTAACACTTAATTCCACTAAAGTCAAGAAGTAACAGTACTGGGATGATTAAAAAATAAAAAAGTCATAGAGTAATTTATTCCATACACATTCAGTTTATCACTACTAATCAGCAGGGATTTAACTGATAACAAGAGGGAATCCCTTGATGAACTTACACTATGGTGTGGAAGGCCAAAACAAAATCCTTCCATTTCAAAACAGTGTGGGTGCTAAATGCCTGTTCAGGACGCCCTGTGAATAGGACCTAATCCAGTCTTCGGAAGTCAGAGAAAGTTTCCTAAACGAGTTGATTTCTAATTTGAGCCTTTTTCAGAAAAGGTGGTGTCTAAGTGGAGCCTAGAAAAAGAAGTTAGCAAGGGAAAAATGGAGACAAGGGAGGGGAGGACATCTGAGGAAGTGGGACTAGTGTGCTAGGCACACATGTGAGAGTGAGTATGTCATACTTAAACCAAAACAAAAAAAACCAAACCCATTGCTGTGGAGTCAATTTCAACTGACAGTGACCCTATAGCACAGAGTAGAACTTCCCTGTAGGGTTTCTAAGGCTGTAATCTTTACAGAAGCAGACTGCCACATGTCTCTTCCATGCTTCTCCCACAGAGTGGCTGGTGCGTTCACCTTTCGGTTAGCAGCCAAGTGCTTTAACCACTGCGCCACCAGGGCTCCTTATGTCATGCTTAACTATAAATATTATAGTTCTTCTTTGCTTGCTGCAGGAGAAACAGAAGGACAGAGATTATTAAAATGAGTTCGAGAGTTAAGTGGATGGTGAATAATAAAGGGACGTGTGTCAGACCTGGAGGTTAGAATTTTACCCGAAAGTTAATGGGAATTTTAGGAATTTTGAAAAGGGAATTTGTGTTTTAGAAAGATCACTTTGCCCACAGTGTGGCGTTTGTGTTGAAGAAGATTCTGGAGACCGGTTAGAAGGTAGTAGTGACCGTTTAAGTGAAAGATGGTAACTAATACCAGGAAATACGAAAGAAAAATATCAAAGCATAGAATATGGTATGCAAATAATTTGCAGTTGAAAAGGAAAACTTCTTATACCACAGGAATTAATCTACATATGATAGACCAGAAAGTTTACAGTTTCCATAATTTGCTATTGAGCCTATTTTACATATTTGAAAAGGATTGAGAACTCATTTACTAAACATTAAATCAGCAATGAGAACACTGGAATCATACCCCTTTCTCTAATGTTGGGTTTTATGACACAGATGGAATTATAAAGACACTAATTAACCAGTTTATTTCATATTTATGACTGTCATTTCTATTCAATTTAACAAACATTACTGTGTGTCCATGAGGTATATATTCCGAAACGAGGTTGACCTCATCAAGAATATTTTATCCAAGGCATTTGGCAATACTTTGCTTGTAGTTGCACTAAAAACGTTCACATGTGGAAGAGTCATGTTGAACTATTTTTTAAAAAGGCAATAAAATATTAAGTGGACAATATAAGGTGTAAAAATAATTTGAAATTTGTCTGAATATCAAGAAAAAATGTCTGTCCCCATATCAATTCCAAACAGGAAACATGGGAATTCCAATCTAGGAAATATGAGCAGGTAAAATGGGTAGTTAGGGCCAAGAAATGCATAGGCCTTGAGGATTAATATCACTTTTGGATGAAAGAAGTCACTTAACTTCTCTTATGTCTCTGTTTTTTCTTGTGTAAAATGAAGAAATTAATAGTACACAGAACTACTAGGGAGTCCCTATGTGTTGCAAATGGTTAAGAACTAGACTACTGACTGAAAGGTGGGTGGTTCAAATCTACCCAGAGACACCATGGAAGACAGGCCTGGCAATCTACTTCTGTTAGATTAGAGCCTTGAAGGCCTATATTGTTACAGCACTCTAGTATGTATATATTCATTACCTGTTCCATTGAACCTTCAAGGCTTTTTGTTTTTCCTTTGGTTCTGTGAGAAGTTTACATACCATTTTTCATTTGGAAACCTGATGAGGGCCAGGACAATGATTTGAATAGTCAAGCCATGGAACTTTAGAGATAATTTAGTCCAGTACCCTTATTTTACAGTTGAAGAAACTAAGACATAAAGAATTAAGCAAAATTTTGACAGCTGAAAGAGCTGGAAAGAGAAAATAGCAATCATACATGCAAGAAATAATGAAAATTCTGCTGAAAAAGTGTAACATGAGGAGATGTTTTTCCTTTAAACATTTCCCTTAAAACACATCCATTAATTTTATCTTCTTTGGAAATCAATCAAAGTGATATTTACAAAGACAATATACCAGATGTTAAGAAAAATTCCCTAAGATGAAATCTCAATGTTCTAAAAAATGAGATTAGTCAAAACTAATTATTACAACGAAGTATTAAAAATCATATATTTTGCTTGTATATAATGAGAGAGGAAAATAGATACAATTTGAAAAATAAAGTTACTTATATCACAGAAAGGGAAAAATGTGAATAGTATTAAATTACATATTTTAATAGTATAATAATTACAATAATATATTATCCCATTGCTGTCTAGTCAATTCCCACTCATAGCAACCGTATAGGACAGAGCAAAGCTGCCCCATAGATTTTCCTAGGCTGTAATCTTTAGGAGATCAGATCGTCAGGTCTCTTCTCCCTTAGATCAGCTGGTGGGTTCCGTTAGCTGACCTTTCGGTTAGCAGCTGAGTACTTAATTACTGTGTCACCAGGGCACAAAATCTCAGGAGATTGCCCAATAGGAGAGAATAATCAAGAAACGCTTTATGATTCCTGCAGA